ATTTTAGTGTTTCAGGCTTACTACGGGCCTCGGGGGCTTTAAGCTTATTTACCTGGGCCCTAGTGCCGGTCCGACCCATGAAATTGGGTCGTGACAATAACCTATCAAATTAAAAACTAATTAAAAATAATTAGTTCCACTATTGTAAATTAAAAAATTATAACATAATACTGTTAGGATAAACTTTTATTGTTTAAACATAATTATTTTTATTAAACTATTATTATTTAATTACTCGTTTAAATTAAATATTACCAAGAAATCAAATTGATTTCTTATATTCTTTACCATAGTAAAAGTACATAAATACATTTAATACAAATATAATTTTTTATTTTATCGAATTAGATTGTTTTTCTTACTATATTTAATACACCATTTTTAATATATTATATAATTTCTTATTTTATCAAATTAAATTCTTACTATATTTAATATACAATGTGGGCATTTATTATTTTGCAGTGATGACTGCATATTATATTGTGAACCTAGAAGGAAAAAAAAAAAAAAGATGCAAGAGGATATGAAAATAAGGTATTGGAGAGAGATTTTTAAAATTCAATATTTATAAATAGACATTTAACCATATCAACATTCACACTTTTTATTTCATATAATACATCAGCCACACAGTCCACGTTAGCATTGAAGATACTCTTAGTTGTTTAAAACTTCAACTCTTTGGTTTGTTTTTTTCTTTATTTCTATATATTGTTTCTCACTATTTTCATAACTATTTTAAATATGATTTTTTTGATGATGGAGAAAAAAAATAATAATGATAAGAGGGATAAAATTAGGCGTGAGCATTCAGCCAATTCACCCAGTTTGAGTAATATCTTTAATCGAAATAAATTTTTTATTTAACCAAATTTAGTTGAACTAATTTTTTAACGGAATTTATTGAATCATTTTGGCTAAATTAATTGTGATCATTAACCGCACCAAAGTTAAATAAAATAAAAATCTAATTAACCGATTGAATTTAATCAAAATTTGTGATGAACTGACTTTAATCGGAATTTTTAATCACCTCTTAATCAAATAAAATTAAAATTAAAATTTTTAATTTTTTATCTACTTAATTAAAATGACGTAGTTTTAGAAATCGGTTAATTTGATTAATTCGGTTAAATTAACTTTTAACCGAATATTTAATCGATCACCGAAAATCTAATTTTCTTTAACTGAACTTTTAACCAAATATTTATTCACTGAATCGAATTAGCTGAACCAAATATTCACCCCTAAATAAAATAGTTAAGAGTACTATTTTAACAAATTTGTTTTTGCCATTAATAAATAATGATATGTCAATAACGCTATCCATTAATATAACCAATCAAAATTAAATAATACTTATTTATTTGATCAATAAAATTAAAATCTTTAAATATATTATATTTTTACCATATTTAATATATATTTTATAGTATATAACCAATCAAAATTAGATTACCATTATTTTCTAGCCAATAAAATTAAAATCCATAAATTTAGTAAGGACATTTTTTGCGACCTCAATGTTCTTTCTCCATTCGTACTCTTATGTATACTAGTTTTTTGTATGACGTACATTGCATGTTGGCTATACTCGTTATATATTTATTTTTTTATTTACATAATATTAAAGCATAGGTTTTGTTTAGATTAAAATAAATACAAGTAGTTAATTTGTACTTCTTCCATCCCATCTTGTTTGTATAGTTTGACAAAACACGTATATTAAGAATTTAGTCAACAAAAGTTATTTTTCCTTTTTTTACCCTTAACTCATTAAGATATTAATAAAAGTCCAAGTCCTTCATTTAATAAACAATCATAGATGTTATTATGAGAAAAATAATTATTTACATATCTAAATTTAGAAACCTTACAAATATTTTGGATCATCTAAAAAATGAATAACAAGAAAACAAAATAAGACTGAGGGAGTTTTACATTTTATCATACGAACTACTTGCAATGTTATTTCTTATATATTTAATTCTATGTTTATATAATAAAATGGACAGAATTATGTTCAACCTAATCTCTAGACTTAATCCTTTAGTGCCTAATTTAAAAATACAGATTTTTAAAATCTTAATAGATGCCCAAAAAGAAAATCAAATTATTACTCAATCTCCAACTCTCCGTCCCAACCCCAAATCAATATCTATATACAATTATAATGAAAAATAATAATAAATTATTATTTACTGATAAGTAAAAAAAAAAAAAAAAAAAATGGATAAATGGATAATGGAAATCACTTTGGCTACAATTGCAGTATTACTTACCCAGTGCATCAGAGAAAGGAATATATGCTTATACACACAAATTCTTGAAATCCAAAAATAACCCAAACAGAAATATATATAGGTCTATTTTTTTTCAGTTTCCTAAACAATATTTTCTTTTAAGTCAAACAGATTTATGATATAAGAGAAAAAAATGAAGAAAATTAAAAATATTTAATCATCAATTGGCTATCTATTTTTTGCAAAAGAGATATACATCTCTTACTAAATTAAAATGATAGTAGTTATAAATTATTCAGTAACGAAAAAAATTATTATTAAGAATAAAATTCTTCCAACTCACCTAAACAAAAAAATGTTTCTCATTATATAAATATATATTTATAAATATTTTATATTTTTTTAAAATTAAAATTTTCAATTGTCTGTCGTCTCAGATTTAATTATGTAAATTCTATTTAAAAATTTACTTTTAAAAAAATATATCCGATCAAATCTTATAAACATAAAGTCAATCAGGTAGTGGTCTGGTTGGTCTTCTCATTTATGTTAAGAGTGGGAAGTTTCGAGTTCGAGTCCTCTGATCACAGTTGTTTTCACCAGTTTGGTAAGCTAAGGGGTAATGTGTAGCCCATAATGTTATTTCGGCTCATAAAGACCTCCAATGAATTTAAATCTTTCAAACATAAAAAAAAAGGAATATTAATAAAAACAATATACTCCTTTTTTTCTCTCCTAAATAAAATATTATATATATTTTATTTGAAAATTTATTTTGAAAAATATATTCAATCAAATCATACAAACATAAAAAAATATATATTTTCTTTCTTTTTTTTATCTATCCCCTAAATAAAATATTTTAAATTATAATCAAAATGAAATATAAATAAAATATTAAAAAATTTCTCATTATCATTATATTTATTAAAAATAAATTTAGTAAAAATAAACAATAAAACTTAAAATTTTGGAATGAATAATTATTTATAGTATTTATTTATAAAATAATTTTATTTTTGATTCATTAGGAAATCTAAGGGCCTAAATAACACTGCGAGATACACAACAGAAATAATCTTCCCCTAGATGGTGAAAACACTTACGGTCGAGAGGAGTCAAACTCGAGATCTCATGGGAAGACAATCAAGCCACATATAATTGGCTACTCTTTTTGTATTGCCCACAGTATTATTTCATCTTATAAATGCCTCCAATGAATTTAAATCTTACAAATATAAAAAAGAATATTAATAAAAAATAATAATATACTATATATTTATCTATAAGTATATTTATCTCTCCAAAATAAATATCAATATTATATTTTATTTAAATTTTATTTTTAAAATATATCCATCAAATTTTATATAAACATAAAAAGAATTTAATAAAAAGAATATTCCTTTTTCTTTCTATCCCCTAAATAAGAATATTTTATTATTAATCAAAATTGGAATTATTAAATAAAATATTTAAAAATCAAATGATCCCATTATTATTATATATTTATTAAAAAATAATTAGTAAAAACAAAATTTAAATTTAAATGGCTTAATTATTATGAGTATTCTATTATAAAATATTTTTTTGATTCATTTTATAGAAAATCTAAAGGCTTGAAATAAACACAGCAAGCTATACAATAACAAATAGTCTTTCTTTCTTAGACGGGTTGAAAAAACACTTGCGTCGAGAGGACTATATTTATTAAAAATAAATTTAGTAAAAACAAAATTTAAAATTTTGAAATGCTTAATTATTTATAGTATTTATTTATAAAATAATTTTTTTTGATTCATTAGAAAATCTAAAGGCTGAAATAACACAGCAAGCTATACAATAACAAATAATCTTCTTCTAGACGGTGAAAACACTTGCGGTCGAGAGGACTCAAACTGGAGACCTCGTGAGAAGACAATCAGACCACACATTTCATCCCATAAAGGCCTTTAATGAATTTAAATCTTACAAACATAAAAAAGAATATTAATAAAAATAAAAAATATTTTTTTTCTCTCTCCAAAATAAAATATCATATATATTTTATTTAAAAATATATTTTTAAAAAATATATCCAATCAAATCATACAAACATAATAAAAGAATATTAATAAAAAGAATATATTTCCTTTCTTTTTTTTATCTGTCCCCTAAATAAAATATTTTAAATTATAATCAAAATTGAAATATAATAAAATATTAAAAAAATTCAAATGTCCCATTATCATATATATTTCTTAAAAAATAAATTTAGTAAAAATAAAACTTAAAATTTTAGAATGCTTAATTATTTATAGTATTTATTTATAAAATAATTTTTTTTTGATTCATTAGGAAAGCTAAGGGCCGAAATAATATTGTACGATACACAAAAAGGAATAATCCTACCATAGACTCACCAAATTGATAAAAACACTTGCAGTCGAAAGGACTTAAACTCGAAACTATGTAAAAAAATAATCAGACCACACATGGTTGACCTAAAGAATAATTTTTATAAATATATTCAATTTACTATTAACATTTAATTTTCTAATTGGCTATGATTAAAATTATTTTAAGATATCTTAAATTTCATCAAAAAAACTATTGGAAATCCATTGGAAATCCATTATCTCCGTTCCCACATTTATATATAATATAAATTAAAATAAAAATTAAAAATAAAATAAAATCATAGATTATACATACGTACACAAAAGCTTCGAGCACTCAAGAGTTCAGAATTATGCAAAATTAGGGCAGTGAACGTGCAAGTCAAATCCATTATTGAATTCTATATTCCTCCACCACAATAAATATGAATTCTAACATGTATACAGACATGTTCTAGCACACGTATATACATGTATACAGATACGGGCCTTAACATTGAAATTAGCTAAAAAAAGAAAATTTTGACAGATAATAGACCATGAGCACAATATCGTATCCAAAATTCATATCTAAATGGATTTGACTGGTAAAAAGAACCAAAACGGTAATCTGGCATAATTCTTTTTCCTCTGTTACATTTTTTTTTTTCTTTCTCCTTACATTTCTGCATAAGAGAATAATACACAATAGCAGCAATGCAATCAAGGGCCTGTCACCTCTGTGACTTTGACCTGAAAATGCATCTGCTACTCCAACTTTTATCAATATGTACAAACAACATATATCCACTGAGATGTGAGGCACACCCGTGTTGCTCCCACTATCAAAAACTCCTCCGGTTTGTCTGATTCATTTGAATTGAATGATACAATTGAGTTCCCAGAGAAGCATTTTAACTAGATAATATATAGGTTCTCCTTTCTTTTGTTATAAATGTAGTACAACAGCTAGGGATAGTGACATTGCCCACCGAACTATAGGAAAAGCTGCAGAAGCTGCAAAATTCTAGATATTAGTTTGCTACAGATATCAACACAAATATTATAACTCCGTGCGGTTCTAGTAATGCATGATCTTTACATAAAAGAATTTCCATAGGAAGATATAATGATGTTTGAATATACGCAACAAATTTGTAATAAACAAGTTGGCCTATGTGATGGCAAGCACGAAATAACAGAACAGATCACACAAGCATCATGGTTAATTATCAAAACATGAGCAAAACTTGAACAGAAACAACTTTTGGAAGGAATTTAATTAAAGAATTCACCTAGCATTGAGATTGAAACTGTTTTTCCCAAAAAGCACCTATTCTCTCTTTGGTTAGGACAGAAAAGCAATTACAGAAGTTGTCAGAAAGAACTGTTTGGCAATGTAGTTTGCTTCGAAACTTTTATGATCATGCGAAAAAATTTACATTAAAAGCAAACTTTAATTAATTCTAATCAAAATATCCAATGCGGTGCATTTTCTCAACCACAATGTCAAACATACCCAAGTATCAATTTCAAGCAAAAGAACATTACAAGATCATTAAATTACTCACATGAAAATGGTGATCGTGATGGTAATGGTGAACTGGTATCAGGATGCCCTTCTGATTTTGCCTTTGATGGTGGCTGAATATGAGCAAAAACAACATTTGGTAAAGGACTAGAAGCAGGAATTGTATGGGAGATTGGCACTGGTGTTGGTGACACTGCTGGTGGACCAACATAGGGTTGTGGCAAGGGAGTAGAAGCAGGAGTAGAAATGGGAGGAGAAATACTGGGTGCAACTACGGGCGTCAAAGGAGACCCCTTTCTCCCTTTCTCTGGATATCTCCTATTATGCCCAAGTTGACAACCAGGAGGCTTTGCTTTACTATTCGGATGTGCAGGTGAACTTTTCAGTGGAGCAGGTGATTTATCAAGAGGTGCAGGTGCACCTTTCTCAGTCACAGGCGCAGGCGAAATTAAAGGAGCCATATATGCATCATGGTGGTGATGATGGTGATGGTGGTGGTGGTGATGGTGGTGGTGGGAATGTGGGAGAGGTGCAGGAGAAGGTGAGGCACTGCCTTCACCACCATGGAGAGAATGTTGCAAGACAGATGAAAGACGAACTTGCTTAACTTTACCAAAAACCGTGTTATTCAGACCAAGGTTCCTTGAATGACCTGATATAGTTTGAGCCAGTTGCTTTAACCTTTCCCTCGAGGGAGTATTCCCAACAGCCAGCACAACAGATGACTGAACAGTAGTAGGGGGAGCCACTGTTGAACCTTGGGAGTTTGATAAGCGTATGTACAAGTTCTGCATGCATAAAAGAAACACATGACATGTGTAACACATACTAAGACCATAATAAATCAATTCTCTCAAAATAATTGACAAATAGAACTTTTGATAGAAAACTATTAAAATAGGAGTTTCTCTCACTATTAGAAAAACTGTTGGGACTACCTTAGTCCAAACTCCAAACCACTACTAACACATAAAATCAAGAAATTTGTGACCGACATGCAAAATGGTAGAGTTTGATTGTAAGAAATAAGGGCCTAAAGCATTTAGCTCTCTGTGCCCAATAAGGGATTTTGAGCTGGATCTGATGCTCTAACAACTCCATAAAGTTTAATTCAACTATACGTGGTAGGAATAGTAGATGTCAAGGAAAGTGCTTAACATTCCACATTTGCTAAAGATGACGGTTCAATTAAGTTCAACTACAGGTTTCAAGGTATAATGCCTTGGTCCAGTGCAGGTTTAATTCAATTTCAACCACCATTAATAGGGTGCAACAATGTGTACCATGTCAATTAGAATAAACTTTATAATGTGGATTAGGTGGTCTAACAGAGAAAATATGATTGCAGAAAACAATATTAACATGAATTATTTTTACCAAAAAAGGAAAAGAAGAATTGCCAAACCTCATAGGGCGCTAAGTGCAGGCCAGACTTGAGCTGACTTGTTAGTTCAGCAAAATTTACTTGTATTTGATAAATAGAGAAGTTCAAAGTGAAGTTGAAAAATACTTGCACTTTCTGCAAAAGAAATGCACTTTGTGGTGGAATAATAGTGATTCCTCCGGGGAATTTAAGCACCTCAAAGGAGAATGGGTCCCCAAACAAGGATTTTGTCAAGCGGAATGACTGATTTACAACCAAAAATTCAAAAGAAGCCCTAATCAAACTTTGAGCAGTGGATGATAGTTTTGAATATTTTGCATCAGGATCAACCCCAAACACAACCTTTGTCGTGTTAGGTCCTGCTGAAGGTTCCAGGGACAAGATAACCACCTGATTCAAAGGGCAAATTTATATCAAACTAGAGATCGTATAAAGCAGATAATTAAGAACAGTTGGAAGAGTTAATACTTTTGTGCTAGGAAAGCTTATCTCGTCAAAAATGTCATCCTCAAGCTGTAAGATATTGTCCTCCAGAAAGTCAGCTGACTTTCTAACACTGAAACTTGCTATTATATCATGATCTGTACACAAATTTCAACAGTCATCTAAATATTTAAACATCTGATAAATTTCAAAGCAATCTTGAATGCATATGCATGCCATCAAGATGTTAATCTTTCATATCTAAGCACTAAATTTTCTAATTTGAACCAGTGACATTATTTGGAAATACTTCAAGGAAGAAAGCAAATAACATAAGCTGCTCATCCATGAAATGAAAATAAATGTAGCAAACATTGAACAGCATGGCATGGTAACATCATATGCTCACCTAAAAGAAACTCCATTCAATCTTTGATGCTAGCATCATAGAAATCATTAATGGCAACTGGATATTCATATAATATATAACTAAATTATATAGACACTAATATCTGCAAGGGCATGGTTCCAGGCCCAAGGTAGAAAAATTGCTTCAAGTTTCAGATGCCAGATAAGGCATTGAAGGAGTACGCAACTCTCAAGATGCCTAGTGACAAAATCCCTAATGAATCAACTAAAGAAAACCTAATTTAGTTGACTGCATCTACGAGCATTAAGGTTAGTTTGGTATGATGAAACTGAACATAATCAAATGAATATATTGAACGCCACTTGCCTAAACATATAGTTAAGAACCCATCAACGCCACTTGCCTAAACATATAGTTAAGAACCATCATTACATCAAAAGCTATTATTTAAGAGAGGAGAACCACTCTGAATTTAGTCAACTACTCCATTTATTGTTCCTAGACATCATCCAAAAACTCTTTGAACCCCTTGTACTCACATCCTAGAACAAGATTCTTTTTCCCAATCCTATCCTTTCTACAAGCGTCTATTTAGCTTTCGCTAAGAAATTTCAGCAGGAAATGGGAAACAGCAATAATTAATTTTTGGAAAGTTTCATACACAAGGGTGTTAAATGGTTTGAATTACATGCTGTGCCAACAAAACAAGTCTTCCAGCCACATCATTTAGCAGGACAGAAGATGGCACTCATGCTGCTATAAGAAAACATAAGAATGTACAAAAGCTCCCGTAATGTCCAATTACAATCTGACAGTATTCACATATGCCATTCCATCCTCCATTTTGAACTCACGTTTGAGAATCATAGCACCACACAAGCAACATAATATACGATTGGTCGAACATAATATATGACCAAACAAAAGCCCCTCCATCTCAAGATCTACAGTGAAGCTAATACAAGATGCGTAGCCTAACAAACAATTTAAAGAATTTCACTCTAGAGAGAACCTTTAACTTGTGGGCAACATTAACAGCAACATATCAGTAGATAACAGAATTTCCATGTCCAATTCAAAATTAAGTGAAGAGCTCATGCAGTACATATGGGTTGAACTAACTTATCATATCACCAACAGCATAAATAACCACATACCGAATGTTGCACTTTTTATTAAAGACAATATAGTATCCCATAGTAATGCTTGTATTAGGAATTTAAGAATGTAAGGCTTTGGCATTAACAAAGAATATAAATAAACAGCAATCCATTTATCATCTGACATCATGCCTATTAATAAAGAATACAAATTCATAATCTCAGTTACTGTTGTACAAATATGCCTTAGGAGCATGTAACATAGGCAAATATGTGTTTAATAGGTTCCCTTTTCAGATATAACAGAGATATGATTTTAATAAGTTATAACATACACATTGATTGTCATACTTATTTCTATAAAATGATTTTACATTTCCAACTAGCTGTGGCAGTTCCCAAAAAAGCATATCAAACCTTATCTCAAAATACAAATGATATATGAGTCTAAAGCATCAGTTTATCTAATCATAAAAAGTGTGCATATGTAGACGATTTAAAAAGGGAAATAACTAAAAATAATCATCATCCACAGATCACTTTATAAAGTAGTATATAGTATCTCCACGTGTAGCAAATGCAATATAAAGTACACACCAAACCAACTTGCTTCTACTATTCCTAGTGGAACTTGATTTGGGTGATTAACAAACTTAAATTAAAATCTCCCTCAACAGTCAAGATTGGAATGTATAAAAGTCCTGTTGACAAGGTTGCCACTAGCAGCAACTTTAAAGAAAGGTGCACTATGTCAAATTGAAAAATGTTGTGAAATTCAAAGGAATTGGTGAAAGGTCAAGTAGTCAACTCCATGGGCTCAAAATCGTCCTATCCCCTTGCACTGCATGCAAAACCATTCTAATCGAATGGGACACCTTATATACCACAAAAACAACAAAATTATGTTCAGAACCAATTGTATGACATATGGAATTGCAAATGAATTTTTAATTACTCATTTACAAATAAGTTTTTCATGTTTGGAATGATATAACATAAAATATTCATATGACTTGCCTTTGGTACAAGTCTAGAATCAAGTTCAACATGTTTGTATTTTCCTAAAATACCCATTAACATAATTTAAACTGACACTCTAAGCTATCTTATTTTATTCTTTACTTTCAATTAACAGCATCATCTAAACAATAACACTAATTATTTTGCAAAAATCATGTAAGGAGAACTTTTTTAAAACAATCACGAAAAAAAAAAAAAAAAAAAAAAAAAAAAAAAAAAAAAAAAAAAAAAAAAAAAAAAAAAAATTACTATTCAATTAACAGCAATTTCATTCTAATACAACAATAACAACTAATTATATTTTTGAAAATCATGTAAGCAAGAGAACTTATTTTTAAACAATTCACGAAAAAAAAAAAAAAAAAAAAAAAAAAAAAAAAAAAAAAAAAAAAAAAAAAAAAAAAAAAAAAAAAAAAAAAAAAAAAAAAAAAAAAAAAAAAAAAAAAAAAAAAAAAAAAAAAAAAAAAAAAACTTGAATTGGCATTGTAGAGCTAGCAAGAAAGGATCTAGCAATAGAGATAATTAATAGCCAGAAATCATCTTATGGACAAAGAAATCTTTAGTGGGAACGAACATGAGGTCAGAACAACAAAAACAACTAAGCCTTAGTCTCAAACTAGTTGAAGTCAGCTATATGAAATCTTTACTAGGAACCAACATGATGTCAGAAACAAGTTCTAAATTGTAGTCGTAACTTGTGATCATCATGGCCATGGGCTTGAACACCATAATTGTGTAGATGTGTCAACATATTGCCACTAAAAGATAATGGTGCACTACCATGAATCTATTTAGAAGAATTACAGGACTAACAGTGCCATTATATCACTTTTGTGTCCATTTACTGTTATGATTATGTCTATACCTAAGAACCATGGTGAGGAACCACTTAACAGTGTGGAAAAGGTTGTTCTCAAATGGGGGAGGATGAAGCAACCAGATTGTAGGTGCGAAGGAGGTAGAAGAGGTAATGGACTTCTTAGTTCATGAAGAGGACTTCACCACTTGTAGAAATTGGCTTAGTCATATTGAACCCATAAAGTTGAAATAAATTTTTTACTTCTTTTTTCCCAAATACAAAAATGTGAGATTTGTATATAACAAATTTGTATAATTCAATTGCTCCAAATTAAAATTTCACCTTAAAGTTGTTTGGTTTGAACACTAGAGGATTAGAGTCTTGTGTGGAATTGCGGCTTGGAAATGGAAAGCCATAGAGAGACATATATGCAACCATTAGGCAAGTAACTTAGTGGTTAAGTGCCTAATGTGGAAGAGAGACAAATTCAAACCCTAGCAACCCCTACCCCTTTAAGAAATTTTGATGATACAGCACACACATATCAAAATTCAGTTTAAAAGTAACTGTTTATATGGAAGAAACATAATCGATGGCATTTAGCTAAAAATAGAAATCGATAAAATTGGCAGCTCAATTTACATTTTAGAACTTCCAAAATTAAACACCAATTGCTCTTCCAGACATATGGCTTTTTTCCTTTTGCTGAGTGATTACGTACATATTTCTCAATTACAAAAAATAATTAGAAAAAAAATCAAATGTATAGAAATATAAAAATATAGACATGCTTTAAATTACTTGGCTCATCAAAAAGAATGGTTGAGTCTATTCATCCAAACTCTTCTCTAATAAACCAAACAAAATAAAATGGGATTTTAAAAGTTTACTTCTCTTTCCTCCTCGATCTAGTATCTACAACTTCTTACCAACCCAATACCCACCAAGTACCATCAGATCGTAACTGCTTTTGAAACCTTTAGCTGGGGCAACCTCCTAAAGGGGAAAAAAATGAATTGAAAGAAAATAAAAGAAAACCAATTTGGTATTCCACATTGTTTTCACTTCTCACCAAAGGTTTGCGATCATCAACCAAAAACAGTACTTAACAACCACCACCATAGGAAACCATAAAATTAAAAATTAAAAAATAAAAAATATTTCTAGATCTATCCCCGACAAAAAAATGTTCAAACACCAAAACAGTCAATCGACGCCCAATAAATTACAACTAAACAATTTGGAAAAGAAAACAAAGAAGGCACACCTTTAAATTTGGGATCCAGATCCAGATTCCCCTGATCTGCGAAGTGGAGAAAGGGAGGCAGCCAAAAGACAGCAGAGAGAAACACAGCCACAGACAAGAGAAGCACCAAAATACATCTCACCCCAATGAACCTATAAATGTGTTCAAACTTACAGCCGTAGAATCCTCTCTCTACATCTTGGTCGGAAGTATCATCACTAGTAGGCAATGCCTGCTCCTCCTCGACACCAACCTTTCCCATAAGCAAAACAAACAACAATGCAGGCAATGGCAGCACAAATCTTGTAGGTTATGGTCCTTCATATCCATCGACACAGGCTGTTTGGTGGTGAACTGGGTCTCTGTTGCTTGCTCCCATTCCCTTTTTCTTTCATGTTCTAGAGTGAGAAAGTGAACCAACAACAACCAAAACAAGAACTGCAACAAATATAACTTAAAAGAATAGTTTTCAACTTTTCCTTTTTAAACAAATTTTGAATTTGCTTATACTATGTAGTTAGGGTTTGAACTTGAGAGAGTGAAGGAGAGAGAAAGTAACTATCTGCAAATGACGGGTATGGGCTTTTTGGTGGAGAGATGGCGGTGGTTCATCTGTATTTTCTTTTTCTTTTTGCCCTTTATAATATTAGAAAAAATGTGTATTATCCGTGAACTTTTTATTGCTAATGTTAAGTCGTAAGTCTTCAACTACCAGTTGTTACTTAAAAACAAAAGAATACCTGCGGGTAGATGAGTTGGAGTGTTTCATATTTAATTTGATTTCATTCAATGAAAATTCAGGTTATATTTAAACCGATCTGGATATTGTTGGTTAATTTGAAAAAACAATTAAATCACTCAGTTTTTTTTTAAAATAAAATTGATAAAAAATTAAGAGAATATAAAAAAACGGAGTAGAAAGAATATAGAAAAGGTAATTCATATTCATTAAAAAAGTATATATTTATAGATGCAAAATATATATTAAAGGACATAACTATATATTCCAAAAAACACAACTGACCGAAAAATAACTAAATAAATATCTACACAATTATAATATTCATAACACTCTCTTGGATATCCATTACTAAGAATATGTCTCATTAAAATCTTACTAAAAACTCGGTATGAAAAAATATTAGTGAAGGAAAAAGAATATATTATTTTTTTCTAAAATACACGATAATGTACGCCCTAATTTCTAGAGTTGTGAGTGATAACATGATAGATTGATAATTAGTACTCCCTTCGTCCTAAAAAGATAGTCCATCTTTCCTTTTTGGTTTGTTTCCAAAATATAGTCCATTTTTCTTTTTTAAATTATAGTTAATCTTTAAATTGTCTATTATACCCTTGTTAAATCTTATCTTATTTTCAATAATCCTCATTAATTCATTCTTATTATTTTAATATAATAATTATTCGTGTGTTATTTCAGATGACTATAATAGAAAAGTTATATGAATAAAAATTATCTTTTAACTATAATAATTGTTATTTTATTAATTTGTGTGAAAATAGAAGGTGGATTATCTTTTTGGGACGAAGAGAGTACCAAATAAGGGTTTGATACGGTTTTCATATAAGGGTTTGGTACGATTTTCAATCTTGAGGACTGACTTCTTATATTATGTATTTTGATATGTGAATCCGCATTGCATGTAGAGTTCCACTAATTGGATATTTGAATTGAGAAATTATGATATCAATTGTTAATTTAAATTGATTAGAATTATATTTTAAAATTGACAAAAAGTTGATTTAATTTTGACCAAAGGTTTTTAATTTAATTGCTTTTGACTTAGTAAAATGACTTTGACATATACTAATTAGTTTTGCTCTATTTTAATTGTAATATGGTAAATTTTAATTGTAAAACTTGTTTTACTAAACCTAGGAACCTAAGTGTGCTATTTAGTTAATCTATCTATCTATACTCTATATAAAAGTGAGAATGAGGAGGGAATAATCAGATTTCCTACATTGTCCTTATAAAATTTAAGATACTTTAAAATAACCTTAGTTATAACTAATTAAAACATTTTAATATATATAGTTATAACTAATTAAAACATTTTAATAATATATAATTATAATATATATATATATATATATATATATATAATTATATATATATATGAGCCTCTCCCCTTGTGAAGGCATAAGTTAGTTTTACCTCTTTCTTTTAGAAATCCCTATCTCCCTCATAACCCTCAATTCTTTGTAAGAGTTCAAAGCAGAAGAAAGTTTAATTGTAAAACTCTTTGTAAGTATAAATATTGTATTTCGTTTTTTGTATTTAAATAAAATTATTTAAATTTGCTACGATCTAAGTCCGTGTTGACGGCACTCTTCTCTTCTCCCTCTACACTCTGACTTAATTCTGGGGATCCCAGGTTAAGGTTGCAGGAACCCTAAACTTTAAAATTATTTATTATATATTGAGTTGATTGATAAATATTATCTTTTGTATTGTGTTGGTTTGATTTGTGTATTTTTGTTGTTTTGCTTTAAATTAGAAGATTTATACGTTTTTCATAATCGATCCTTTGTGTTTTGTTGGTATCAGAGCCAGGTTTTTTTTACAATTGTCCTCATCGTCTTCATCTTGTTCTAATTCAATCTAAAGATTCGATGGCAAACAAACCACTGTTCATCCACAGTAAAGGCCAAAGCCACAGTAAAGGTCAAGATTCGGTGGCAGACAAACCACTGTTCATCCACAGTAAAAGCCAAAGCTACAGTAAAGGTCAAGATTCGGTGGGAGACAAACCACTGTTCATCAACAGTAAAAGCAAATAGTAAAGATTCTTAATTTTTTCTATTTAAAGGGAGCCTCTCCCCTTGTGAAGGCATAAGTTAGTTTTACCTCTTTCTAATAGTAAAAGATTCTTAATTTTTTTCTATTTAAAGGGATAAGCCTTCCCCTTGTGAAGGCATAAGTAGTTTTACCTCTTTCTTTTGAAATCCCTCCTCTCCCTCATAACCTCAGTTCCTTTTGTAAAGAGTTCAAAGCTGAAACGGACCGCCGAAAATTTTAAATTTTCGGGTAGGAATTTTCATTTAAAAACTAAATTTTTTATTTTCAACCAATGAGATGTTATTACCAGCTTAGTATTTATTATTGCTAAATGGGCACCCGTAAACCAATTCGAATTTTTTTCGAAAATCAAGCGAAAAACTCGAACCAAACAAATTGAGCCAAAATCATAGAATTTAGACCAAACCGGTTCGAATCGAACCGGAATGGTCTTAGAAGAAGGCTTTTAGAATTCTTTTTCTTTTCTTTCTTTCTTTTTCTTTTCTTTTTTTTCTTTTCTTTTTCTTTTCTTCTTCTTCCAGCGGCGTCGACCTCCACCCTCTCGCTTTCCTTTCGCTTTTTCGGGTCACCTGAAGCCAGCGCCGTTCCCATCGCCTCCCGCCGCCGTTCCCCGTGCCGCTCTTTCTCTCCCTCACCTCTGTTGTCTCTGGATAGCGCGGCTGTCGCAGGAAGCCTGCGATTCATTCGATCGGGAAGTTGCATTGCAACTCCACTGATTTTCCGGCGACCTTGTCACCACCGAACGGTTCCAGTCCTCCCCTTCATCGACAGCGAGCTTCTCCCTCTCCTTCTTCGTCTCGCGATTCTGGCGAAGCATGGAAATCACGAGGCGAGTCGCGATTCCATTCACTCGAGACAGTCGCGCTAACCTGCTTTGTCGCGTAACCTGCTTTCACCTTCAAGTTTCCGACATTTTCCAGCTGAGTAAGTCAATCCCCAACCTTCATCAGTTTAATTTATGAATTCCTTGATCAAAGATGGAGGTTTTGAATCGTGAATAAAACTATTACATAAAGCATTACCTAATCACCAACATTTGAACCTAAAATTTATTACTTGCCCTAAATATTCACCTTTTACCTAATATTCATCAATACTAATAAAATTCCTTAAGCCCCAAAGTAATGACGCTTTACCATCCAAATATCTTATTCTACTAGCCCCGTGATAAAAATAGACAACTCTCAAAAATAATTTTATAAAGTGTAGCTTACTGTTTAGGCGAATGTGAATGGAAATTTTGAATTTTTGCTCTTGAAAATCGGTATATAAATGATTCCTATATTGGGCCATGGTTAGATGTATTGCGTTTATTATCTTATATTGGCGATGGTTAGATTATTGCGTTTATTATTAAATCCGATTATTGCGTTTATTATAAATCCTTGTGAAGAAATAAGCATTCTTTAGCTTAAAAACAACTAGTTAGCTATATGGTCAAGTTCTCGATATCCTAGGTAGGAGGAATTGAATTGTTTCCAATTTGAATGAGTTATAAACTGAATTTTTATAAATAAAAAAAAAAAATGTGCAAAACCGTGGGATATATTATGGGTACTAAATAGGAAATCTTGAAATCCTTGAGCTAGCAGTAATTATATAGTTGATTTCTTGAATTATAGTGTTTGGGATGAATATGCGAAGTCATAAACCAAGTTCTTAATGCGATATGAGCTCAAGTTTAAGCAAAAATATATTTTTCTTAGGCGCAGTAGCTATTTCAGGTACTTCGTACCATTTTAAATAATTGGTATGGAAACAGATGTATGTAAATATATTTATATTTTCAATACTCTTATGTTGTTAGTGTTGGTTACTGATTGATAGTAATATTCTTGCAAATTTAACGATTCAATTGTAAAACTCTTTAGCTATATCTAGAAGTGGTATCTTTATGTCAAGACGGAGAAATTTATGAAGCTTTAGTTATATGTTTAAGTTTTGAGCTGGGTTATCTAGTAGAAGTATTTATTAAATTGTAATTTAATTGAAATGTCAGTTCTTAATAGTTAGTCTAGAACTTTAATAAATGTTTAATGTAATGATATTGTTTATACCTTAAGCCAAAAATTATCTGATAATTATTTCCTAGATAGTTGAAGGTTCTTTTAATTTGTAAAATTTTTGGCTTGATTTGGTGATATATTATTGAAGGCGGAGGGTATTTGATTTGATTGATGCCCGAACGGATGGGGCTGTGGGATTGAGTTAATATTGAATGAAATTTTTGATATTTAACAGCGTGGCATAGTCTCATTTTTTAGGGGAAATGCTGCCGAAATTTCGACATAGAACTAGACTAGTTTTAAGTGAATGAACATAATTAATAAGTCTAGTTTAGATAAGTCTATGACTTCATAAATATTAAATAGAGTGCTTCTAAACTATTTAATTATTTTCATTATTATTCATCGAATTATTCAAATTATTTATTTATTTCCATTATTATAATTTATTTAATTGTTTGATATTCTTAATATTATTTATTATATTTATTTATTTAATTGCACTTTGAGAATGGTTGTCTAGTGGTGCATTGCATTACGTTGTCCAACTGATCAAATATGTTCTCGCACTTAATTGCAATGTTGATTAATTGTGTTGTGTTTATGCTGATTGCTTTGTTTGTAGTTGGAATTGGGATGAAGTGGACCACCATGGGTTTTTTGTGGGAGGACGTCTGGAATGTGGATCCTGACATAAGATATGATTACTTGACCGTCGGCCGGGGAAAATGGCGAGATCGGCGCCCCCTTGTGCACCTGATGATATAGATTGATATGGGGATTTACAGGATGGCTTCTTGTTGCTG